CCGTATAAGGCAATGTGTAGGTCGCACGAGGGGCTCACTAATGACAGGATCGACTGTTGATCCACCAGAAAAAGATGTGGGGAATTATTGTGAACTAAAACGCACCTGTGGGACGTACGACAGCGTCCGCGGTAGCTCAGTTGTAGAGCACTGAGCCGACAAAGAGTAGGTCGAGGGTCCGATTCACGTCCAAAGATCTTGTCTCTCCATTCTCTCCCAAGACTCCAAGACTTCCCCGATCTCCGTCTCTCCTACATTAGTCACATAACAGTCTCTTTTGTCTGCCATGAGTTCCGAACTACACCGAAACTGCTGTTATCTGTGGTGCATTATAGCTTTTATCGTGAAGTCCAATCATCTACCGTATTACTGTGTGTTCTGACAAAGAAAGACAGCCCTGTTACCCTTTTTCATAGACATGGAGCAGCGCACTACACATGTGGTTGGATTGTCGGTCGAGCAGCATCCAGAACTTTGTAACATAACTTCATCTGTTGAGGAGCGCACAAAATATTGTCATCGATTTACTGTCTGAATGCTTTCAGTGGAATGCACAACTACTGACATGATCCCTCAACCCAGGACGAATTAGGGGAAGGTCCACAGCTGATGTTCGGTGGGTTGTCGTGAGTGCACCTAGTTTACTCACTCACCGCTAAGGTTCCCCGGGCAATCGTACCGTATTGCGGATTTGCCCACCTGTTGATGGTACGCGGCGCAGTCATCGATCCACAAGGCGCATGGGCTCTCCAAACCGCACTTTTTATAGCAAGCCGCGTACGCGTGCAAATGCCTCCGGATCGAGGCGCTCGTCCTATCTGGCCTCACAAGCCCAGGATCGATGACTCACTTTTGTGGGCTATGGGAGTAGATAAGCAAGCTGCCTTATCGATCGATCGGTCAACGCAGCAAACGTGAGACGAGCGAAACAGCTGCAACCAGGTCATGCAAAGTAGACCGCTCGTCCTCACGCTGGTTGAGTGGCATTCACATCCTGTCGCAGAGCCCAGTTAGAAAACTACATGGCAATGCTGCTTCATGCAGCGCATAAACAATGCGATCGATGGAGGACTGCATGTGTGAACTGTACAAACTGATGACGTTTCATCGAAGCATTCAATTCAGAAAAACGAAACTGATATTCGCGAATATACACTCATTTGCAAACTAATTTGGTTTTCCGAGAGACTCACCCAGAACCCAGCTGAATCTCTCGTTTATGATGTTCCCGGAGCATTGAAGAGAGACGCATGGGCTGTCGACGAATTTTCAGCAACCTTATGAGTAGTACACTGCAAAGATATAAATGTATCGCGATATCTCGAATATCGTAGCGGCTGAAACATGAGGCGGCCTGGTGCAGCACATTCAGTTGCCTGAGAACATCACAAGCGAGAGATTCAGCTGGATTCCTGGTGAGTCTCTCGAAAAATCAAATTAGTTTGCAAATGAGTGTATATTCGCTAATTTCGTGCAATTTGGTTTCAAGTGGAACATAAGGTTGACGGAAATCCGGGGACTGCGCCTACCTGATGAGCCCCAAATAGGGCAAAACCGGTCGTGGGCTGTCGACGGACTTTCAGCAAACCTTATGAGAATACATTACAAAGACAGAAACTGATACTCCCTTTTGTGTGTGACCATTTTAGCGGCTGGCATTTGTAGCCACAAGGCATTCAGTTTTTTAATATATCTCATCGTATAACGTATAACATCCACAATCTTCCCTTCAAAATATAAACACTACCCTCACAGGATACTAGGTATAAGATCTCTTAAGGTTATTTTTTCAGCTTGAACTGGTTGGGACGATCACCTTGACAACCGTATCGATTCACTTGAGAGTTATGGATGAACCAAACGGGCTAGAGTCCATTGAATGGTACAGAACAACCCTGATTTCTTCGTTTTGGCTAAGCACACAAACTGAAGTGATGATAGTTACCACGGTAGTGTCCTACCACAAATTGGAACACAACCTCTCCACCCCGTGAGCAGAGCGGATGCAACACCCATATAATTTCCGATCTGTACTGTGTTGGTCAGGCGTTGTTGAGAAGTTTCGCTCTGGTATATGGTTGTGAAGATGAACAATGAAGATTTAAGGACAGTGAAAATAGACTGTCCCTTACCTCATTTGAAACTGAGTCAGCCGCTAGGAAGCGCTGGCTCACTGCCTCGAAAAATAGTTTGTAAAAAGGGAAGAGATTCTGACTGCTTTACCCTTGGACGGAAACGTCCAGAAAAGCGTTGTGTAGACGTTTCATCACCATGGAAATCAGTTCAAGAGCTTCCAACACTGATCTGTGCGTTGCAATTGGATGTGCAGCGATTTGAGTAGTTTGTATATTAGCCCAGTATAAAGCAATACGATGAATTCCGGTAAATTAAAAACATGTGTACAATGCACTTTGGCGTATGCACCAGACGTCAAATTAGTCGGCAAAATCTCTTCCAGCGGCAAATTATTTCGGTATTCTGGCTTTTTGAATTCCAATTTACTGTCGCAATCGACTAGCAATTGGCCATAGATGAACGTGACCTAACAAATACCTGAAGCATTTGACAACCGCATTTCATTTTATCGTCGTTTCAACGTCTACGAGAGTTTCGTGCTACTACCGTGATGTACTCCCACCCAGAGAGAAAAAAGGACAACCGACTCTCTGGAAAGTCGAGAATAGTAGTCACAAAACATTGCAAAAGGATCACATTTTGGCTCGGTGTGTTTTACGTAAGCCGATCTTTCTAGTTAAGCGATAGATAACAGCATGAAGAATTTCTGCCAATCAGAATACTTTAGCCAAATATTGCAACAAGGATCCAGAGAAAAAACGTTGTTTCGGCTTGGGTGCAAAGTGCACTGACCTGCAAAGAGTTGACGATGGAGTGAATTTCATCAATTATTCATTTTAAGCAGATAATTAGAGACGAATTCTGTGAAAATTAGGCTTGATTAATGAATCTGTCAATGCACTTGTCCAGCGTCCGATGCTCTTTCGGCTGAATATTGACCCCCATGTCCAATGGACAAAGATAGAAGGCAACCTGTGTTTACTTTACTATTTGGTAATACCAATAAATCAGCTATTTGAGTTGTAATCGTAATCGCAGTATGACTTGACCGTTCGATCTTAGTTCTAGGATAAGTATAGAAAAGGGGCGGGTCTGGTTCCAAAGTATATGTTGCCCTTGAACCAAGGACCACCCTGTGAACCACCCGGTAGCGAAACTACTGACTTTTCCTTCGTGGCCTTCTTATTCTTACAACCTTTTCATATTTATTCTTTTATCCACTTTTATCACGTCTGATCTCTGAAAGAATACGCCAACACACTCCGAAGCGCATCTTACATGGCGATACTGGACTGACTTCTAACGGACTCGTTTCACACGTCATGGGTACGAATCATCAAATCTCAGAGTTTTGGGCATCTAAAGTAATCCATCTACCACATACTTCATTTGCATACCGATCTGGCTTTAAAGAGAGACTCAACTGAATTCAGCTGAATCCCTCGCGTATGATGGCTCACCGAGTTCTGCATGTAGCGTCTCGGTGTGAGCAGCCGAGGCGCTGGCCGGACGAATACATGACCACCGTTGTGTGCACGCAAATAAACTGAACACAGCGCCACGACCATCTATGCGTCTCAAGAAAACGCAGCTTCAATATCCCTTTGGTATCACACGTTCTGATGCCATCTACTTTGATAACACCTGCAAAACTGATAGTACCTCAAAACGCTCCTTGAATCTGACCGTCGTTCCCACGCTGTTTGTCTGTCACTATTCCCTTTGTCTGCTTATGGTATTCCTGCTACACCATAATTGAGCGCGTTGGTTAGCTGAATGCACATATTTCAGCCGTTTGACCTAGTGTTCGGGGGCCAGCCGTCCCTAATAACCGGACAGCACATCATTTGGACGGATGTGTCACGTGCAGGAAACGGGCCAAACGAAGGCATGCCCTGATTGGTCAGAATGCTAGCCAATGCGAGTCAAGCACATGTGACTCGACGCTTCCCGCCCCCTCACGGAGATTCTGGCACGACCTTGTGGAACACACTGTGACAACCCTATAGATATAGTTGTACTAATTTTCCTTTGTCTCCATAAAGGGCTGTGTAGAGCTACCGTGCCCTTTGATACACCATAGTGGGCGGAGCAGGAAGCCAAGGGACCGATACAGAGTTGCACGATCGTACATCAAGACACAACACGTAGTACTTTAAAATCGGTGGATGAGTACCGGCTTAGGGGAGGAAGTCTTGCTTCTGAAACGCAGTCAGCGCACACTGTGGTGCTTGCTTATCCAAAGTAACGTAGAACACAAAAAACTTCCCAAGTTGTTCTGTATATGGCAATCAATCACAATCCAACGTGAACTTACTTCGCATTGCTCTGTCACTGGTTTAAAGAGATACGTACGGATGCAGACACCAATGCAAGTCGATTGCCAAGCTCGGCCAACAGATCAGCAGCCAATAAAGGCACCCGGGCTACCAATGTAATGGTGATACTACTGATGGGGGCCTTCGAGTAGTATGTTTTCTTGTAAATTCGCTTGAAAAGGGAAATCTATTGCGGATTTGTGGACTTGCTTTGTAGCATTCACTTGGACTTGAGCAATACTCAGAGAGACGGGTTCAAGAGAAGATGGATGTTCAGTTTTTGTGATTAAGATGCATATGAGAGTTTTGCTTTCCTGTCCAATATTCTCTTACTGGTGAGTTGGCTTTTTCCAGTGAAAGCCTTCTTCCCTTCGCCAACAGTTCGGCAGATTAACAAAGAGTAGACTATACTGCAAGATTCAGTTGAACGATGTTTTGGTATGATTGCCGCTAGGCAGTTCAGCACAGTTCCAGGATGTTTCCAAGGCATGTTGTCATAATCTCTTTGCAACAAAGTGAGCTAAGAAAACGGATACAAATCTTTCTTGCAAGTATTGGGGGCAGTCTATGAGCGGAAAAATTAGACAGAAACGGTGGAGTACTCACTACATTCCTCTTCTGTGTCCGTCGCAGGATGGTCTCCCATAACATCGGGCAATTCGAGGAGATGGCGTGAGCCTGGGGCTTGGAGTTGACCTTTCCCTGAGTCCAGTTCCATAGCCGGTGACCCCATCATCTCATCTTCTACTTCCCAGGATTCTACACAGGTAGTCACCTGACGGAGCACCTCAAAAATATTCAGATAGTGTTGACGACGAGCCACGTGAGCTGGTGTCCAGTTGTACTAGAAAGTTGTATAGAACACAAGAGTAACTGAATGGTATGGGGCAGTGAATGACGTTGATGTACATGTTTGGGTGTAACAGAGAGTCAATGGCATTTTTATCTTGAAGGATGCCGAATAACTCTATCCAGTCTAGCTGATTAGATCTCACATGCAAATTAAGCTCTTTTGTGTTTGAGTCCACGCAGTCGGTGGATATTTTGAGAGGGTCGCATTAAGGCACTTGCACTAAAGACGATGCCGTTGGCAAAGGGTAAGAAAAATAAAGCCGGGATTGCTTAAAATGCAAGAGACTATAAGAATGTCCAGGGTTATACGGTCTAGGACGCAGGAGATACGCAACAGATATGCAAAGTGCTCTCAGATATCTGTGGCAAGGAAAACCGTCAATGCCAAGAAGACCAAAATAGGTCTATATTGTTGAAGTTTAAACAGAATATCAAATTCACTTTCAACGCCAGCCTCAATGGGAATAGGCAGTGGATTGGCTACTGGCTGATATGTATATGGCAATTATAGAAAACGGAACATTATTGACAGTAAGACGCCATCTGACACTCATATTACGGATATCTTCGATGGAATTGTGCAGTGAATTTTCGGGACTCTTAACCAAGCTCACCCAAAACTTCTAGTTTACTCTGACATCACTTATAGATATGAACATGGAGATATATCCACATGACAGTCTATCGAAAAAGACCGGTTACAAGACAGTACACGCATCTCCACAGCTTAGGTGATTTAATCAAAAATGCAATCTTACCAGGAGACTAAGGTGTAAGCCGCTAGATAAAAGTTTCATCGAATGCCCCAATGAGTTTGCTGGGCACCAAAACTACCTATTCTAGAGTACCTTTGTTAAAAAACTGGTTTATTTTGGTCGACTGGCTGGACCAACTCATTATTTGGTAAAACCAGAAACATCCGTCAATGGGATTTCATCTCTTCCCAATTACTCTTCGATTTATCTATAACGGACTAGTTGTGTTCAGAGAACATGAAGTCGGCTGTCGGCCAGGATAAGCGAGCGTAGATCAAAGTGACGAGGAGGAAAACTACCGTTGGACCACATCTTGGAGGAGGTCTTGACTTCGTGTCTAGATTTACTAGCGATCGATTCCTAGTCACTCGAATATTGCATTCCCACCTGTTCATCTGTCTATTCCAAATGCATTCATATCAAAACCACCCGGCAGAGCAAGTTGGAACGAGTGACCTGAAAATCTCATTGGAACACTGTGTACCCAGCCGTGGTTTGCTCGCATGCGTAGTTGTTTTTGTTCAATTCTGGCCTTCTGGCGGCAAGTAGCGTGTTGACGAACAACAGAAAAACGTGAACGGACCTGAAGTACAAATCGCTTCATCACTCCAAAAATGAATCATCACCAATAAACAAACCTAAGAATTGGTCAGTTAGCACCACTGCGCTAAAATGGAATTTGTGCTCCTCGGTGATGCATGTAAGTGGTGATGTCTCATCGCATAGCGGACAAGTATATCTACGACTGGTCAATGGGAATTGCTTCCATCCAATCGTGATGCTTTAGATGAGTGTTTATTTCATTATTTATCCAAACAAATAGGTATTTTTAAGTCCAGCGCGTTCCCGGTGGGTGGCTATTTATTTCGACTTTTCGAATCAAGATTAAACTTTGAGTTATATCGCTATTTCGCACGTCGTTAGGTAATTCAAGTTCTGAAAACAAGCACGTTTTCCTCAATCTGTATTAAGATCACTACCATAAAGGACCAGCTCCCAGAAAAGACCATCATTAGTTGGCTTGTTGAAGTGTACTTCACTAGCGAACTCTTTTCAAGTAAGGACGAAAAAGATATAGTTGTCTACCTCTCTAAAGAATCGAGTTGGAGAATAATCACAGAAACGGCGAAAATTTCGCTACAGGAAGGTCCAGAAAGGCGATGATCGAAGTTCTCGGAACAATCGTTTGCAGTCACTCAACAGCGCCGAAAGAGGGATTCGTATCTCAGGAATGACCCAAACGACCGGATTTTTGGAGTTTTCCGTCACACAATCATGAGAGGGCTCTGAATTGTCGAACACTTAACTGATGTTCTTAAAGAAAATTGGTTCCAAATTGGTGACAATATGACAACTTGTTTAAAACAACCATGTAGCACTTGCAAACTGCTACTTTTCATGCTCAGTATCATCTTCCTTTTCCCTATCAATACCAGTCACATCACTGTACAAACGTTTGTTTTACTGAAACACAACCGCAACCGCCCGCTTCTTGGGTCCAACGTGACTTTGAGACTTTTGCTGAGTGAATGTTGTTGTGACTGCCGGTTGGCTATAATTGACTGCCGCTAACTCAAAACGTGAACAAAAATTTTAGCTAAAAACACTGGACTAATCTATACACACCTGTGGATTAATATTACGATCACCGGAGATTTGGAATACCAGGAAGGTAGAACTTTTCTTGGTGTGGTTGTTCAACGGAATACGGAACTACGAAATCTCCTATTGTGAACTTGTGACTTTGTATCTGGTTTACATTGTTAATTTGTTCTGTTCACTAGAGACTCCTTAGGGCCATTAACCACTACAACCATATGATTGATTTTACCCCAAAATGGTTGAATGGGTCTCACAGTTCTGCGTGCTCCTGCACAGACTTGTGTAGCACCCCGGGACGGTCCGTCCTCGAGTGGTTTGAGCAACAACAAACAGCACCTCAGGGATCCGTGTTACGACTCCTACCCATACAAACAACTTATTGCATTTCGAAAAACAAAACTGCCGCTATGTAAATCATCTGTTTTCGTCATTGGCCCCTCTACGAACTAGAGGAGTTAACTTCATTTGCTCGCCAGTTTAAACATTTAAATCACCAAATGGTTTAAGCCAATTTTAAATCCCGAAAACTCTTAAAAAAACAACAACATTAAACCGATACTTTTGAGAGTTCATTCTTTTCTGGGAGGTGAGCAAAAGCACTTCCTTCCTAGTACGTGACCTAGAAAACGGCTGGAGAAGTCAGCCATTGATCTGTTTGTTGAGCTTGGCAGTCTGCCAAAAGGGGGAACACCATCTTTGTTGTCGTTGGCGTGTATATGTGCTTCTGTCGTGCGTGCGTCTGTACACTTACTCACTTGTACAGAATGATATTTCTTAGCTGAAAAACTAAATCCTAAATAAACACGTTTTCAGTGGTTCATCTACTGACCAACACACATCAGGATATCTGGATTGAACGCAAAGGTAGTGAGAATCTGTTACCGCAAAGCAGATGTCTGGTGTGCTATTCAAAGCAAAGGTTACCTAACACAGTCTCCGTTAGGTAAGAGGTGACTTTGTGTGTGTGTGTGTGTGTGTCATCCCCGTATAAGGGTAGGCTGGGGGCACTGGACCAGCTCAGTTAGAGGGACTTGGTCAAATCCTTCTGGTGTAAGGGTAGTGGATGGTGCTATTTCGGACGGTCTGAAGTCTTTGGATCAAGTATGTTCACTTGGTTCACAGTGTGAAAGGCAATGTTGTCTGAGTAGGCTGAAAAAGAACTCATAGGGGTGCTGAAGAGTCTTCGACAGCCCATGACCGGTTTCGCCCTTCTTAGGGCTCATCAAGTAGGCGCAGCCCCTGAGTTTCTGTCAACTTTATGTTCTAAGTGAACCCAGATTGCACGAGCCATCTATGGAAAACAGCACCAGGAAAATTTGTTTTGGTTCAGCTGTCTCTGTTATTTTTGTTCTGGCCCCAGACTGCAAGCTGTGAGACAAAGCACTTGGGGTAGCCGTTTCTGATTACGTCCAGTTCGTGTTCCAGAATGTCTTGAGAACCCAGCGTTCGAACTCTTGAAGCCAAACAGAGATCGAGGGCGCACTTGTGTGTGTTGTAGAGGAAACTTGCATACTGCCCAGTTCAGGTTGCCTTGTAGAGGACACTTCTTCGAATGAGGCGATCGGTTCACCTAGCCAGTAATAAGTCCAGGAAGGGAATCGAGTCATTCAATTTCCCATTCAGTGGCACAAATGGTGCGAGTGCACTCGAGCTAGCGAGTCGGTTTGGGACCCGGTCTAAAACGCACTCTTCATTAACGGTACGAAGCGTATCAGTATTGTATTGGTTGTACTGGACGAATTTTGATATAACTTCCAAATCTAGCCATTAAGATACCAACGATAGTGTTTACTGATAGGCTTTTCCGTCCTGCTGGCGATTGCAACCGCATAGTTAAGGTGTTTTAAGCAAAAGAACGCTCATCTGCTGATCAGTCGTCATGATCAGCCAGTCGATGGACGTCATAACACATCCACACACGGTCCAGTCGCACCGGAGAGAACAAAGGTCATTCACTGCTACCTTTGCCCACTTGTTCTCTACTCGGTTGGAGTTCGGATGACCTTTCGACCTGACCTCTCTTTTTCTCCCCACTATTGACAACTTTGGCCTACCAGTGTAACGGTGATCGGGAGGCACGCGAGTAGTATGTATTGTTCGTAGAATTTCGCTTTGCGTCGATTGAAAAAGGGAATTCTGTTACGGAATTCGCGGGGTCACTTTGTAACATTTACTTGGATTTGATCGACGAATGATTGGAGGCAGTGAATCTCCAGGAAGACTCGTTCGGGAGAAGATCTGTGTCCAGTTTTTGTAACTAAGATGCAGATTAGAGTTTTGCTTCCCTGTTCAATGGTCTGTAACCGGTCAGTTGGCATTTCCAAATAAATAACTCCGGCAGCGAAGGCTTCTTCCTTTCACCAGTAGGTGCCAACCTGTATAGATAGGCAATCTGTTTTAGGCCTTACTGTGTTTCCATTACCATGAACGTTCAGGGGAGAACCAATAACGCAGAGCAGTCACCGAAGTGGAACAAACAGACTCAGTCCACTGATGATACGCCCCTCTACAAAGTATTCTGATGTGAAACGGCCTCGTCCGGAAAAAACGTCGAACAAAGAGTGTGTCCTACTCCCTCCATCGTGGACTAAGTAAATAGGCGGAAAGATGTACTTAGAATTGTTGAAGTTAGGTCATACTTTGAATAAATTGTTTGCTAGTCTGAGTGCTTGCCCTGAACCACGTATTAAGTCACGTATGAAGATCTCTCAGAATGATGTCCGGTTTGGGAAACTTCTAGCTAACAAACTATGGGGACAGAAGCAGCTCTTCAAGCAGTGCAACTATTGGGTCGATATCGATAACAAAAACCTCACTGTTAGGCAGAGTCTATGCAAATACCTCAGTGCAGAAACGGATAGTTGATTGCTGAGTGTGTAGACCATCCTCAAGGAAGATAATCAAAGAGGGAGGGCGGTAATCTGAAGAATGGCCTCTTTTCGAAAGATCGCGAAGTAGAACTTGGCTAACGAGAAGCGTACTGTTACAACCTTTATGAACGGGGCCTACTCTAGGAGTGATTACCGTATCTTGAATTTAAGGCAACTCGTGGGGTTCTCATGACCTCGGTGGAGAGTCCGGTAAAGTTCCAGCTGACATTAAACCAGGTTGGGATAACGAACCAAAGAAAAGCTCCAAAAAATCAAAGCTAGAGCCTCTGTAGCTGAAAAAAACATTAATTCTTTCGCGCTGTACCTAATAGTGACCTCATTGTTCGGTTTCAGACCTCATTTGACCAAAAAAGATTAAAAAGTTGTACGTTGGTCTTATAGATACACCATATCGCCTGATTGTTGTGGGCATCACATACCAAATGCTTTATTCTCACAAAGCCAACAGAACAACATAAGCGAATTGGCAACATCTAGGAAAGGTGGTTACGCCAGCTGAATAATCGATCAACCAAAAGAGGCAGATGGATATTTTTTGGATACACATCCTAGATGGTCGTGCTCCAAATATCGGATACCTGATCCACATAAGCAGTGAAGCTAGACCACGAAAAACATCTGGTGCGTCACGTGCTAATTGCCACCATCAGTGTACCGGAACAGGTTCAGCAAGCTTAGACCCAGGTACTCAGTTTTGACACTCCAATTGCCCGTCACGTGCAATTGCCAACAACAGTGTACCGGAACAGGTTCAGCAAGCTTAGACCCAGGTACTCAGTTTTGACACTCCAATTGCCAGTCCTAGTTGTGAATGAGGGTAAACAAAAGTGACGTTTTAAAGCAACCGGATCATCCTGTGTTGTACCGTAGACCTATCCTATTGCAGTGCTCTTGCAGACAACAAAGACGTGAAGATCCTGTGGGATCGAATAGCATTCGTTCGACAGAATGCCTTGGGATTAGCCAGAGAACCGAAATCCGGGTAATTCGTCATGTTCGTCAAGAGTGATAGAATATCCCGAAGCTAGAAATTTTCGGCCTGTCAGGTCATAGGCTGTTCTCAAAAAATGAATGAGCTGACCGGTTTCCCATAGAAGTAGTTCGAAAATGTTGCATTGGTACTTATCCAGCAATGTCTCCTACAATTATTTGGTCATGCTCTGCGCAGGTCAGGTAAATAGCCAAATGAAAATGTAGCCAAGATGGTGAGATCTTTTTTGTCTACGTTTCGATCTGTATCCAGTTCATCACCAACGATCAAACAAAGTGGACACAATTCGTGCAGGGGGATTCCAAGAACCTATATTTGAATTCTATCGCAACTAGCCACAAAACCTCTATGGACAGCTGTTTTCTTCAGGTTGAAGAGTATTAACCGGAAAAAGGAACCTTGGTTGGTTGGCTGATTGATCAATTTGCTTTTGCCAGAGTCCGTTGCCATATAACTACGATTAGTCCATTTAGCTTCTCCCTTCACAGAAGTTTTGCATCCCAGTAAAGAGAGTCACTAGCGGTTATCTCTGCTCGTAGGAATTTCGAATGCCCGCTCTAGTACATGTTGCGTCATGCGTGTGGAGTCCAACCGAACTGAACAATCCATCTAAACGATGGGGCGGACTCACTCTGGTTTGTATGACGGCAGAACAAGAGATCGCTTCTGTTCCGAGCACAGCCCTTCGCTATCAGATGCCTTCAGAAAGCCCACTACAAAGCAGCGTGCAGAACCCGACATTTTTGAACCCAACCTTGACCGAAATCCCCCTCCGGCTCATTATCATTTCCTATCCTACCACATCCCCAATGTTAGTTTTTCATCTTTGCCTGGCCCGATGCTGTGCTGTTTGGTGTTTATCCGCTACGCATATTTGTCGTGAACACGGTAGACGTGAACTGAAGTAATCCTACCAAAACATCATTTGGCATCAGTGTTTGTTTCATCGAAGGAACGGGTGTAGTCAATGTAGATTCTGTCCACTTTGTCCGGTATCTGTTGCCCCTCTTACTTTCCAACCAGTGTTTAATTAGACGGCAACACTCCTGACCGTGTCATGCTAGTATCGTAAGCTGTAGTTCATTGTAAGTGCAGAAGGTTGATGGATGGCTGACTTCTACATCAGAAGTTTATCAGTAAACTTGGTTGTACGCTGTCCATAAAAGCGAATATTCGTAAAAATCATTGTCCCCCTAGGACACCCATGAACCTTTTTTTTCAGAACCGCCCAAAGTTCAGTGTTTCATTCAGAACAGAAGATTATCTACAAAAGATGATAGACCAGAGGTGCGTACCTTGTTTCGCATATTTGGGTTGGCTCCACTTTCCAGCAAGATGTAGACAACTTTGGCGTGACCCTGCTGAGCCGCCAAATGAAGAGCATTCGAGCCCATACAGGTTTGTGCGTTCACATCGACTCGTTTGCCGAGGAGGAAACGGACCATATTCGCCTATGCAAGAAAGAAGCGAGAATGTGGGTGATCATGGGAAAGCGTCAGGACAAAGCTGATGAAAGCACCGCCTACCGATCACCGACAGTATAAAACCGGATCCGCTTACTGCTTCTTGAGCGGTTACCGGACATCTAAATGGTGACAAAACATGAAGTTGAAAGAGTCTAGGCTCGCTGTCTATGCAGCTATATGCAGTATGCTATACCAGCGTTGTGGTATGCAATGCAGAAAACACACTACAAACTACCGCTACCGCATATTGTTCCAAATATTTTTGGTTCCAGAACGACAGCTGAACGACAAGCAGCCAATGCGACTCAACTGAAGAAGGAGTGACTTTGACAAGATGAAAACGGATAGCAGAGAGATGGAACAACATGCAACAGTGCGAGGCCGCTGCGAAATCAGTGTTTGTTGCCCTCAAAAACCACTTAGTCTAGTTGTTCAATTAGAATATAGCTACGGAAGCCAGGAGGGACAAGGATGATCCTAGAAACAGTTAGCATAGGACAAGATATTGTTACTACCACTATAACGGTGGATACTACTGATGAGGCACGCGAGTAGCATGTTTTATCGTAAATCCGCTTCGCGTCTCCTAAAAAGTGACATCTATTACGGAATTTGTAAAGTCGCTTTGTAGCGTTTGCCTCCATCTGAGTAACAGTCAATGAATATCCAGGGAAGTTCAGGAAGACGCGTTCAAGGAGAAGATGGATATTCAGTTTTTGCAAACAAGATGCACATGAGAGTTTTGCTTCCCTATCCAATAGTCTGTAGCTGTCAGTTGATGTTTTGTACCAAACAACTTTACCGCGAAGGCCTTCTTTTCACCACTGGTGCTAGGCTTTGACCCCAGGATCTAGGCCTCTGGTTCAACAGCTCCCGATGTGGTCATCATATGACTGGTTATGACAAAACTGAGGATAGCGTGTCTGTGCACTTTCACTGAAAATCCTGAATGGGATAAATCATCAAAAGAAGAATAAGAATCTGAAAGTGAATTTTGCGCGCCAATCCCGTGGTGGCCTAGAAGTGCTGGATGATAGCTGAGAACTTAGAACGGCACCGTCAGGTTAGATGTGAAAGGGTTCGGCCTCAATCATATGCGTTGCTGGAATCAAAGTCGTAACCTTGTCTGTGCGAACCTGGAGTCTATCCGGCGTTTGTGGATGGCAACGATAGGTGAAGCTGATTCGTCCTGTCATAGAAAACGGTCTCTGTAAAGTAAGTTAATGCTACCAAACAGCTTTTCCCAAGGAGCGATAACCCAACACGAAATCTAGGATTGAGTTGAATGCTTGTTACAGCTCGCGCAAAGAGTTCCTTGAAGTTTCAGCTGCTTGGGAACAGTAAAGCGGATATTGCAAAAAAATTTGGCAGTCATTTTGGCATCAGGTGGCGGAGTCAAAGGAGGTGAACTACAGGGGAGAAAATCACAGCGTTTCACTCCACAGTTGCAGATGCGAGAGCTCCTCTAGAGGCCACATGATTTGACGGTTGACAGAAAGAAACCCATCCCTGTTACATCCACTTCATAGGTCCCAGTCAGGAAGAACCGATTATCGGAGTGTGTTTACAGGACTGAATGCATTCTTACCCGTGTATTCGACCCCTTTTGGTCTTACATGATTGGCAGCTCACAGATTCCCTACGATGATCGTAAAAAGTCAGGAATATCCACTTCACTGCTTACACGCAGTCGTACTAATTCCTACCTCATTGGCCGGAACGACAAACAAATTTATCAATCTGAAAAACAGCGTGGTACAAAAGACGGAATACCTTCACCGTGTGCGACACTGTGGATTGTGTCGATCAGGTCCAATTAATCGAGCCTTCATATTAGTACTTTTCCTAAGTGAATATGGATTCCGGCCTTGAAAACAAACCCGAATGCGCATATAGTGCACACGAAAAGGCGAACTTCGTTGAGCGGGAGTCGAACCTCTCGCTCACCAAACAAGCACTCTACCAATGGGCGTTTGTCTTATCGCATGCAGAGCCTGCAGTTGAGTTCCTACCAAAAATATGGAGATGGCTTATATGCCCCTTTCAAGTCCTAGTATAAAATTTGCCCGTTTATCTCAGTGTTGAAGCGGCTATGGCGTTGGTAAGTAAACGAGGTGCACCGACGTTTTTTTTCAAAACATGACCGAATTCGAGTTGCGCAAAAACAAACCCGAATGCGCATATAGTGCACACGAAAAGGCGAACTTCGTTGAGCGGGAGTCGAACCTCTCGCTCACCAAACAAGCACTCTACCAATGGGCGTTTGTCTTATCGCATGCAGAGCCTGCAGTTGAGTTCCTACCAAAAATATGGAGATGGCTTATATGCCCCTTTCAAGTCCTAGTATAAAACTTGCCCGTTTATCTCAGTGTTGAAAGCGGCTATGCGTTGGTAAGTAAACGAGGTGCACCGACTTTTTTTTTCAAAACATGACCGAATTCGAGTTGCGCATAAGAGCCCTGTAAATTCTAGGTGAAATGAACTCGAACCTTCGTCAAGACAACGATACCATCAAACGTGTGCCCTTGAACCGCCAACGGAAGACGGTATCAGCAATCAGTTTAAAACAGGACCGCAAAGTCCCTACAACGGCTGCTTCTGTTTCGTCGCCAGTTACGACAAACTATGGAACAGAACTTATTGGACTGACGCAAACAGAAGGCCTTTCTGTGGGAGCTCTACCCATTTTGTATAGCCATCCAACTATTTCATTTACGCCTAGTTAATCTCGAAAAGTTTTGGTGGTTCTTTTGAACTGGATGGTACAGTGATTAACTCCCATCCAGAGTGATTCGTTAGATGCGCGTAGCTCCACATTTTCAGTGGGAATCTAATGGAATTTGGCATTTCAACACATGCATCCAGGTGGACCATCATATACCACTGGTGGTATATGATATTGACTACTAGTTTACCAACAATCTCAGGACCTTTATCAGTGTTCGGTATAATAATGTTCTTCAGACTCTAGGAGCGTGAAACTACTCCAATATCTGAGTAATATTCAAACTTTTCGAGACTTGAATTTTGCTACAATCACTCATATAGCAGTACAGTGACAACATTCGAAATCCTATTTAAATATATCTTTCTATGCAGTACGATTTGATTACCTGCTGATCAAGGGTATCCTATGACAAATTGACCAAAACTGATTAAAGGAATTTTTCGGAGGCAGAAATTTTAGAATGATGAGACAATTAACCAAGGGACTAACACTCAAAAACGTAAAAACTCAAGAACGGTTTGAATGAAAGGATAGTTTACCTGTCCAAAGTGACATGCGGTATGTAAGGGCGTGTAGCCAGCCTTGGTTTTCGCATCCAGTTCGGATCCAGCATCATAAAGGAGAATGGCAGCTTCGTGACTGTCCTCTTGAGCAGCCAAGTGCATCGGTGTCAATCCATTCTATGGTAGGTAAGCGAGGTGGGGGGACACACAAAAATGAAGCAGCGTGAACGATTTCCAACCGACGGGAAGTACGGGAATGTGTCAATCAGAGCTAAAGTTGAGAACGGGTAACCACTTAGTATAACAGAGTAAACGTTTTCTTCTCATACTGACACACTTGTGTTGTGCCTTTGGCGGGAATGCAGATATATTAGTCTGCTTCCTTAAGCTCTAATCAGACAATCTTAGAAAACATAAGTTATGGGCTGAGTTATTCGTGTGAGTGACGTTCAGACACACTACCGAAAACTTAAGATCGGTGTTTTCAATCCATTCAGAAGAACATGGGTAAATAGAGCAGTGTTCCGTTACACAATGCGTTTCAACTAACGAATGCAATTGGTAGGGCGTGGATTTGTACGCAACGGAAGAATAAATATTTGAGTGGGACTCGTCAATAAATAATAGCATTATTAGAGAATTGCATAACAAAGTCCTCCACACGCACCTGGTGTACCCTAATTTGGTGGAAGTGAGGAAAAAACGAGAAAAGTTTTAGTCCTCCTTCGCACTAGGAAAGTTGATATCAATCACAGCAGCCTCTACATCCATACGAGTAAGTTTTTACTGCTGTGAAACAGCATTTATGGCTTTATGAATAGATCCCAAAAATGAGGGCCTTAATGGGAAAGTGTGAGGTAACAATGAACTATACTTTCCAAGAGAAAGACATTTAAAAACCGTAATCCATGAAGCATCTCAAACGACGGAGTTTCATAGGCACAATTACGCTCAGTCGGCAGAACGGCCCCAAATACGTTCGGTTCCACTAGGCAGATTTTTACATGGACTAAGCCTGTGATGAATTTTCACAACTAAAGGTCTCCTGCATAATATACGTTAAAACGACAGGGGTCAGTGGCTAGAATGATGAAGTTGAGTGACCAGAGGAATAATTATTCATGACTACTCTCAGCTTCCAATAGTAGCATGAGTAAAGAAAATGTTTTCACATGCAGTCGAAATGTTACCTTTGCTCTGGAGTTGACCTGAGCGCCCGAGGCCAAAAGAAGTTTGTTCATCGCCACACTCCCATCCTGACAGGCCAGGTGCAATGGAGTGAAGCCATTCCGTGATTCCATATTGCATGCCTTCGCACGATCCACATTGCTAAGCAGCAATTTAGCGATATCGATGAAACGCTTCTCGGCCGCAATGTGCAGTGGAGTGAAGCCATTCTTTGCCTGAGCCAGAGGATCAGCCTAGTCCAATGAAATCAAAGCGCTTGTTATCGTCTTTCAGTTGTCTTGGTTAAACGTTAACCAATTCGGAAAATTCACCATCTTACCCTGTGTTCAAGCAAATCTTGAACAAGCACCAGCGATCCGTAGTGAGTGGCCAAGTGGAGTGGTGTAAGACCATTCCTGCCTGACGAGTTCACGTCAGCTCCGTGAGACAAAAGTAGTCTGGCAGTCTCCAGACTAGAATTTTTGATGGCTAAGTGAAGCGGAGTGAATCCGGACTGCAAGTTGAAGAACAGGTGAGAAAGAATTAGGGGTACTTAAGCTCTAAACAGACAATCTTAGAGAACATAAGTTATGGGCTGAGTTACTCATGTGAGTGACGTTCAGACACACTACCGAAAACTTAAGATCGGTGTTTTCAATCCATTCAGAAGAACATGGGTAAATAGAGCAGTGTTCCGTTACACAATGCGTTTCAACTAACGAATGCAATTGGTAGGGCGTGGATTTGTACGCAACGGAAGAATAAATATTTGAGTGGGACTCGTCAATAAATAACAGCATTATTAGAGAATTGCATAACAAAGTCCTCCACACGCACCTGGTGTACCCTAATTTGGTGGAAGTGAGGAAAAAACGAGAAAAGTTTTAGTCCTCCTTCGCACTAGGAAAGTTGATATCAATCACAGCAGCCTCTACATCCATACGAGTAAGTTTTTACTGCTGTGAAACAGCATTTATGGCTTTATGAATAGATCCCAAAAATGAGGGCCTTAATGGGAAAGTTTGAGGTAACAATGAACTATACTTTCCAAGAGAAAGACATTTAAAAACCGTAATCCATGAAGCATCTCAAACGACGGAGTTTCATAGGCACAATTACGCTCAGTCGGCAGAACGGCCCCAAATACGTTCGGTTCCACTAGGCAGATTTTTACATGGACTAAGCCTGTGATGAATTTTCACAACTAAATGTCTCCTGCATAATATACGTTAAAACGACAGGGGTCAGTGGCTAGAATGATGAAGTTGAGTGACCAGAGGAATAATTATTCATGACTACTCTCAGCTTCCAATAGTAGCATGAGTAAAGAAAATGTTTTCACATGCAGTCGAAATGTTACCTTTGCTCTGGAGTTGACCTGAGCGCCCGAGGCCAAAAGAAGTTTGTTCATCGCCACACTCCCATCCTGACAGGCCAGGTGCAATGGAGTGAAGCCATTCCGTGATTCCATATTACATGCCTTCGCACGATCCACATTGCTAAGCAGCAATTTAGCGATATCGATGAAACGCTTCTCGGCCGCAATGTGCAGTGGAGTGAAGCCATTCTTTGCCTGAGCCAGAGGATCAGCCTAGTCCAATGAAATCAAAGCGCTTGTTATCGTCTTTCAGTTGTCTTGGTTAAACGTTAACCAATTCGGAAAATTCACCATCTTACCCTGTGTTCAAGCAAATCTTGAACAAGCACCAGCGATCCGTAGTGAGTGGCCAAGTGGAGTGGTGTAAGACCATTCCTGCCTGACGAGTTCACGTCAGCTCCGTGAGACAAAAGTAGTCTGGCAGTCTCCAGACTAGAATTTTTGATGGCTAAGTGAAGCGGAGTGAATCCGGACTGCAAGTTGAAGAACAGGTGAGAAAGAATTAGGGGTATAGGTCAGATTCTCTGAGAATAGAAAAAATGAACTGAGCTAACGGGATGACTAGGGTGGCGGGATGAAAACAACTTTGGAGCTCTATCCCTTATCGTGATCGAGAGAGATTGGTACTGCCCGTACTGATGTATGGCAAACCTTTTGTTGTCATTCGTTGTCCGACGGTCTGCACAAATTACACGTGAAACAAAAAATCATTCGTGTTTGTGGTTCAGTGTAATTTTCTAGAACGGAGGGGCACAAAAAGGTGATATTCCACCTTGAGCGTGAGTGTTCCTTTTCCTTCTTGGTTTGTATCGACAGGAACCGCTGTTGTCACCTTTTCTCGGATATGGGTTTTCTACTGAAAACGAAGGCTCGAAAAGTAGTAAAAGGACAGTCCTATGAAACTCCTTCGAAAGAGGAATACTGTTGTGCGCATGAAGAGATGGAGAAGGAGATAGGTAAAAAATACAATATTTTCATATAGAACGTGATTTTACGTAGAGTTTGGCATGAAGCTAAGTCGACGTAGCAAATATCGGTGAGCAAAGGCCGGATCTGAGTGAAAATATCCAGGTTACACATACAAGAGCTTTCATGCCAGTCTGGTCGACAGACGACCAATACATATATACAGTCTTTTTTACACTCAGGAGAATGCCAGTGTAACAGTGGATACTACTGTAGTATCCACTGTTAGTAGTAGTAGTATGTTTTCTCGTGAATCCGCTTCGCCTCTCTTGAAAAGTGAGATCTATTACGGAATTTGTGGAGTTGCTTTGTAGCATTTACCTCCATTTTAGTAACAGCCAATGAATATCCAGGAAAGTTCAGGAAGACGCGTTCAAGGATATATGCATATGAGAGTTTTGCTTCCCTATCCAATAGTCTGTAACTGTTCAGTTCGTATTCTCTACTAAACAACTCCGCAGCGAAGGCTTCCTTCCTAGTTCAGACAGCATAAGTATTTGTTATTGGTTTGTCCGCTGGGCCAGCTAACCTTCCGGTTGTAGACGAGGTTTTATCACCCGCGCGTCGTTGTGCAATAGAGTACAACCTCGAGATCTTCATGACGGCGACCCACAGATGATGTTAGCTCGCTAGGAAACGTTTGAAAGTAAGTTGTTTATACTAGGGAACTGGAAACTAGTTTTCTGGTTCTCTAAAGTGCTAGGCTGCGGTCGTTTTGGTTACTGGTGTGTTGAGAAGTCAAACTATCCTACTACTGAGTGGACTGCCAAGTCAACCGAGAGGTCTACCGATAGATTATTCACGTAGGTCCAACTGCGATAGGCGAAACTGTTTGGCTAAGTAACTCAAGTCATATGCACTGGCTCTGTACCTTCCCTTATGAAGTCAAGATCCGCGCTCCAATTTCCCTCTTTGCAACAGTTTTCAAATCACACCCTGGTGACAGTGGGGGTCGACTTGGCGTATACGTTCGTACCACCCGAATTGAAAGTGATGGGTGGATTCAGCTATGCACTAAACTGCAAATGTATGTCAATGCAGTGCCTCCATTGGATGTTCTCAAAATCAGCGATCGGCCTGAATTCTGCATGGGGGGGGGGGGGTATGCAGGAATGTTTGATATAATTTCGAGAGACCTTTAAGTGAAAAAAAGGCACAGTGGTTTTATGGCAGCCGTCGCTAGCTTACGGTTAGACTGTTTGGCCAAAAGCCCATGGTTTTAGTTGTTTTTAATTGGAAACCCTTTGAAGGCACCTCAGCTCTCAAACATCACACCAAATTGAGACGAAAGTATCCCATAGTGTTCTGTCATTGGAATAGAGGGACCAACAGGATTACCATTCATCAAGTCTTTAGTGGCTCACATAGTGTGGTGGTAAGCAGCGTGGTAGCTAATTATAGCCATCCAACATTTAGATATTGATTGGTGAGAACTCTGGGTTGCAGTTCTCGAGCTGATTCTTTTACACCTATGTCCCAAATTGAGAATGGTCGCAAATTTGTGAAGTACTCAGTTTGTAGAAAGCATTTAGTGAGACCTCTATTTATTCCATGCAGTTTCGAGAAAATGGATCAGACCAGACTAAAAGTCTTGTAGAAATAGGCAATCTGGCGAACGAGTCAGAGTAAGGGATAGGGAGGCTTTAAGCCAAACCAAAGACATACCCTTGTGATAGTCTCCAACTGAGCGCCGGAATTCAGTAACAGCTGACACACGTCTGTATAGTTCCCTTTGGCGGCCAAGTGAAGTGGAGTGTAGGTGTCTTTTGTGGCCGCTTGTACGTGGGCCGAATGTTCCAGCAACACGGTGACAAGCTCAACGTTACCCATTCTGGCAGCGATATGCAACGCGGTTTGATGACCCTGCGAACAGAGTAATGAGAATCATAGGATCATTTTTGTTTATGACAATGAATCATGTATTCATCTGACTGCCTCCCGAAATTTCCCTTGTGTTGGAAACGGTGAGAAGTGGGAATCATACTCTGCAGGGTTTTGGAGAATAATTTGACACCGATTTTCCCCAGGAAGTCTCAAACACGTGACCTCCTGGCTAGTAATCTGAACATACTACTGGCACTTAGACAGGACACAGCGCCACATATCCTTCAGTCATGGAAACGACATCACGTGTTGACTGGTTCCGGATGAAAGTTTTATTCACTGGATGTTCAAACTACTAACCGGGAGGTCGTGAGTCCGAGATCACTTGGAGCGTCGCGCCACGCGCACTGCTGATGATTCCAAATAAGGACGAAACAGCTGTATAGTGCTTACCGGCCTTTCGGCATGGATTGGGTTTACTCGTAGAAAGAAATTTCCAATTAAAACTCCAAAATCCCCCCACAGTGCCACTGGCGTTATTTGGCCATAGTGTAATCGCAAGAATTCTTTCTGCGTTGCTTCGATATTGTTCAACTGACTTTTTTGTTCTTTTTAAACTAACAGTTCAAAGGAAATCAGAAAATCAATGTATCGATCTAAGTTCCAGGTGACTGCACACGTCCAACTAATTGCAAACCAGCTGATGACAGTTTCAACTTGAGAGAAAACTGTTTGAAACCCTATATAAATTCTTTGAGCGGCAAATAAAAATGTAGCTATTCTGTCCTATCTCTCAAACACTTTGGGTTCAAACTGGACCAAAATTTACTTTATCATCCAGAAATGTTCCCTCAAGAGAAGTCCTTCAGCTGCATTCGCTCGGGTCACTTTAGATTGCTTACACACTGACCAAGATTGGCTTTATTCCCGACAAATTATGATCATGTTCGACAGGAGTCGGTCAAAATGTGGAATTTTAAAAGGTTACCGGCATTCTCCCCATACGTTTTGTATGAAATTGGGTACCACCCAACACATGAGCGTGGCTTAACAAGAATAGTACAAAGGAGGGATTCAGAGCAAGTAAAACGTAAAGCAGACTGACTCCAACACCACGGAATCGTCTGTTTTCAATAACGAGGGATCCTTTTCGAGAAATACACTAATTTCGTGGGCTGTCGAAGAGTTTTGTGTAACCTTGTGAGTAGTTTCCTTCATGAAAATATACTGCGATATCTCAAATACCGTGCCAACTGAATCATGAGGCAGCCTGTGCGCAGCACATTCAGTTGTAAAATATCATAAACGATAGATTCAGTCGAGTCTCTCGTGAAAACCAAATTGATTTGCAAATGAGTGTATTTGTCGGAAACAGTTCAATTTGGGTTCAAGTAGAACATAAGGTTGACGGAAACTCGGGGACTGCGCCTACCTGATGAGCCCCAGGAAGGGCAAAACCGGTCGTGGGCGTTCGAAGGATTTTCAGCAACCTTGTGAGTAGTTTCCCTAGTGAGGAATCCTTTTGTTTAAATAACCTTTCACGATTTTTGCAAACTGTGATGGGACCACATTTCAAAGGGGTCAAGTGAACTGGCTATTGAGTCTAGCTTGACCTCATGATTATTCCTCCATTCATTGGCTTACTCCGCCCATGTACTTTTGATTTTCACTTATTTCGCTCATCTGTACCCGCCACTCACCTTGCTGAAAAGGCAGTCGCGTCCGACACTGGTATATGCATTTCTGTGTGTGAATGTGTGCTCCTGCCCCGTTTGCTGAGCCTGACTTGAGTTGTTCTCATGGTTTGCGTGTAGCCGCACTGCCATTCGAAATCACGCGACTGACTTCGGAATGCACAACCGCAAACCATACCACGGGCCAATATTACGCTCACCGTTGTTTGGTGTGCGAACCTTGACACTGCATTGTGCCGGTCAGTGACAGACCTGTGCATTTGCTGGCGACACGAACGTGGACTGTTGATGCTTGTCGTATAATTCCGCGTAATTTTTTGTCAATAGCATCGCAGATTTTTGAACCCAATTCTCCCTTTTGGTATTCAAGATCGTCAAACCTACACGGAACTCAAAGTTCCACATCGCGAAACCTCAACATTGAGCTTGCTTTTCAACCGGGCATACAATATTTGTAAACACGAAGTCCAGGTGTGCACAGTACGGAGGAAAAGACGTGGATGGTGAGGACATAAAACAAAGAAACTTACTAACTGTTATGAGCCTAAGCTCCGCATACCTGTAGAATAATGACTCCGTTACTCTGACTCCGAGCAAGTCTACTTGGCCAGACTACTTGTAATTATGGGGCTTTGCGGGATAGGTATTTTGTTTATAATCCCACCACTCTCGTTTGAACGGCCATGTTGCTGTTCTGGCGTAATTATTCTGGTGAGTCCACACCAAAGGGAAGCACTGAACTCGAATTTCGCTCTTATTAGAGCTCATCAGCAGTGCCTGTCATTCACCGTACCGGGCTTTGAACTCTGAACACCAAGCATGCAACGCAATCGTGTTACCATTACCTTACTACTGCGCACTAGACACAAACACATTTTCGTTCTTGTGAACTTCTTGTCTCAGGGTGTACCACACGCCTTTCTATTTCATATATCAGAATTTTCCAAAATTATCAAACTATTCAGTTCAATAGTCATTCAACTGTCACACAAATTTAGAGGCATGATCAAGTACGACAGACAGTTTTCCCACGGAAATGAGTCAGTCAAAGCAGATATCACTCATTGGCCTGTTCTATGGACAAGTAAAATAACGGTAATGCACAAAACGAAACATTGTCAATCCCAACTGGATTTGGGGCTTACTCTTGCTCGACCGTCTACCAGGGCTCCGTTGCGGAGCAGCAATCGGGCCACTTCCGTCTGCCCTGCCCGTGTGGCCAAATGTAACGCCGTCTCACTTCGTATGGTTGGCGCATTCGGGTTCGCACCATGTTGGAGCAGGAGGACAACAATGCTGATATGCCCCATGAATGAGGCCACATGAAGTGGGGTCAAACCCGACTGGAAGACAAGAGAAGAACGCGTAAGACGTGACCGAAAAATCATTCGGCGTTAACCGAGTTGTGGTTCAACAACGGTTTTCGCGATTCGTTCGTTTTGCACTTACGTGTTTGCGTGGGGAGACGTCGCTCGCATACCAAATATAGAGCACATTGGTGACGAAGATCGTCCCGGTAAATTTCCACTCAGTCATCCGAGGTTAGTCATCGTCACATTTGTGAGACAGACGCATCTGCTTCTCTAGTCTATTTATTAATCGAATCGGTCGACTCGTTTGTGAACCGGAACTCACACGTTTGATTAAGCTTGTTAGCAATCATAGCTTGAGGTTTATTGAACTTGATGTTGTGTACTGCTTAAGCTGATGGAGGGCAGTTGGAGAAGACCTTACTTTCCTGCTTCACCGATTATCCGGGGCCATAGCTTGAGGTTGAACTTGATGTTGTGTACTGCTTAAACTGATGGAGGGCAGTTGGAGAAGACCTTACTTTCCTGCTTCACCGATTATCCGGGGCCACACACTCACTCATCTCATCAGCTAGCCTGATCCGCTGGCGTATACAGGACCCATTTTACCACAACCATCTAACGTCATCGGAAAATAAACTACGATTAATTTGACCACTGTGATATTGCTTCCGATTAGCTCCCAGAAACTGGTAAAAATTGCCTGTTCTAGTAAGAATAAATAGAATGGATCAGAGCAACGCGGGAATCGGGATGGTAATCATATGGGATAAAAAAGGGGACTGTTCAAACGGGACTGGTGTAAATAAAAATCCGGCAACTAGTAAAAATGCTTGTCTGTTCAGCATTGCTCCACCAAACTACTTAAAGCCAGACAGGTGACAAAATGGAAAGACCTGGCCGGTGAAGGTGTTTTTACAAAATATCCAGGCCCGGTAAGAAATAAGGGTCTGAGGAACGACGGGTTTTTAGTTCGCATTGTTGTGCAGCCGAATTTGACCATGCCACGTCAGACCAGGTTGTTGGACTAATTTACGCGTCAAGGTCATCGTCGTTGCGGGTAATGGGAAAAAGCCTTACCACCTAAAATGTTGACAAAAACTCTTCATTTGTATATCATAATATGTCTCCCCACATGAACCGGTTTTGTTTCTCTTATGATTCATCCTGTTGAACGCTTCTGTGGTGAATACTCTGCTGTTTTAACCGACAGCCAGGCTTCTTTTAAAGCTAATTTCCACCTGTTGATCAGAATTATTCTGGTGGACTGAACCGACCTTTATACTGCACTGGGGGTTGAGTAAGTGTCACCAAGAATGACACCTGCTAAAGCTAGCGGAGCAAGCCGGTATTCGACAGCATTTATACAGTATGCCATAAAAATGAAACGAACTGAGGGCTAAAAATGACTAGTGCCCTCCGCAGTATTTCGTGGAACCAGCCAAGGAAAAAAAACGCAAGCTGATCCTAAACTGACAGTCCTTTTGTAACTGGGCGTGTCCCTTTGTTCCTACCAACGTTCATCATCACTCCAGATTGAATTCCTAATTTAAAATTTGCTGTTTGTTACTGCTACTTTCTAGTTACGAGTAGTTTCGTATTAGTTGGTGTCCAGGTTCGTTCGGGAGTAGTTTCGTATTAGTTGGTGACCAGGTTCGGTGGAACTTGAACGAGATGACGTGTTGCAACACAAGAGTGCACGATTCGAAAGATCTGGAAGCACTGTGCTGTAGCACTGTGAACATGCGAGGATGGTCGGTTACGAAAGTGCGAATTCATCTAAACTTAGATATAGCCCCCATCCTATGTTGAGTGAGCTAACCGAGAGCACTGAGTCATTCACTGTCTCACTAGAAAGTAACGGTAAATCTTTGTCACCTGCAGAAGAATTTGCTGACTCAGACAGATGATTTGCACTTCTGTCCGATCTGACTATAGGGAAGTACTCGTAACAGCGTCCGTAATAAGAGAGGAAAAGACACACGAAGATACTTCAATCTGCCTTCGTTCACTCTTTTTTACAGTGACAAAAGACTGGGAAGGACAAAAAGAACACACGATTGTGAACTCACTTCTGTTGTGGCTTCCAGCATACAGTTAAACTTAAGAAGCAGCTCGACAATTTTTATTCGATTCTTTTGACAAGCAATGTGTAGCGGAGTAAAACCATTCTGTGAGGAGAATTAAGAGGCAGAGAGAAGAGGTTTATGGACGTGAACTTGGAAGAATAACCAAGCGAGGTTACTACTGTAGTTTCTAAAGGTAAGTTATCTAACAAAATTTTTTACTCATTTGCTTTATAATGGTATCGCACGCGAAGCGATACCACAGTGACTTTTATGTCTGGTACTGAAATGAAGTGTTTTCTTCGTTCCTGAATTCAGAATAAAAGGTTTCCAGTCACTGAAACTTCTAAGCCATTTTCATTAGAAAACTGCTAGCAAACTAGTGTTTGTCACCAAGCAAAGTCTCCCATAGGTATTTCAAACCATGTGGCCAGAAGCTTCTCCTCCATTTCTCCCAGAACAGGCGCACTAACTAGGGAACTCTGTCATTCACTCTGAGAACTCCACTCCGAACCAAGGAGGAGCCGAGTCCAACAGAAGTTTCACATATCAGAATTAACTGCCATTAAGAACTGTCACCCTTCCAAACAAGAGTTTTGCTCATCTGTGCTGCTAATGTACAGCGTTTCAACCAAAAACCGTTTCGATTTCATCAACTCAGAGCAGCCTACATCAGATAGTAACAAGAGATTATGACATTGCCAAACGACCAAACTATTCCCAAGAAAAGATATCGGAAGCCATGGTTTTCATGCAGATCTTTTCTAGTTTCGCCGCGAGGAATGACCTTGAAGCAACCAACACCGCCCCCCCCCCATTTATTTTACTGTATAATTGCAAAATCTCGTTGATCGGATATTCGGCAATTCACAGTGTTAGACATTCTACAAAGGTGATGTTTGCAAAATATTCGCAGGATTATTCTTCAAGATCACGTGAGAAAAAAGCTTTGCCGTCGGTGCATTTGCATCAGTCTCTGATGCAACCTATAAAGTGCGGCCAAACTCCGATAGTTTTGAAATGCAGGCGTATACTTACTGCCGAAATCTAAATCCTTGTCGTTTTCGGAAAGGTCAGATAAAAGTTTGGATAGGCATGGTTAGGGTCAGTCTTAGATACCCGAGTCTGTAAATGCACCACAAGAATAAACTTTGGATCGGTTTCTGCGAAAAAGCCTATATTCAACAAATTCGCCAAAGAAAGCTCCTTGCATGGTCCACCCCCACCAGATACTGAAATGCTGGTTTTAGTAATACTTGCCAAGTTCATGCCCAACCTCGAAATGCCCGGCATCCATTAAGCTTCCTGCTCCACCGAAACTCACAACTGTTGGGATTTTGGAGGACGATTGAAACGTTCCTCAGGGGGCCAATGAGCAGAATTTGAACGTCATCCCTTGGTCCATTCATCGTAAATCTTACCTAACACCATGGTACAACCACTCACGCAGCATTCTGTGCAGTTTGCCTCCACATCGCGATATCTTGGATACATGAAACTTGCGTTTTCACACTTTCCTCATAACCGACCCAAGTCGCTTGGCGAATCTGCCTTTTGTTTGAAGGGAATGGAACAACTGATATGGGCTTCACCCTCGACTGCAAACCAATGATTGTCCATCTTGCTCTGTATTGACTTGGTGGAACTCGGTGGACTTTAGTCTGTCTAGTAAGTTAACTCATATCAAGAGCATAGGTACAATCATGTTTCTCGCGCCACGACCGGGGAGGTCACTCTGCGAAATAACTCAACTCCGTAAAATCTGTCATTCCTAGAGATGTTACTGAGATGATGACACATGCTGTAAAAAAACAAGAACCACCGATTCTATTTACTTCCTCAGGTGTACTTCGTGGAGGCTGCATGGTCCCACGACACTGCGTGTGATACTTTGCAAATTTCGACACGCGGATCATGCTGACTAAGCGGCTTCCACATCATCCAACTACTATCAATTTTACGAGTAGTGTAAGTCACTGGGAAAATAAAACTCACCAATGCGCGTGCGTTTACATCACACCCTCTCTCCAGCAGTAGTTTGGCCATTTGGACGTTACCACAATGCGAGGCCACATGTAGAGCGGTCAAATAGTCAATGGTAACCTCGTCCAACGGAAGTCCTCGTTGCAATAATATTCGAGCGGCGTCAACATGGTCACCTTGTGCGGTCATGTGTAGGGCATTTAACCCGCTCTGTTTTTGCAGGGAAGGTAGCAGAATTCACGTAAGTGAAAAATGTTTGGGTTTTACATACACACTGAGTATCTAATAAAAATATACTGAGATTAAACACGAGTCACCTAGTAGGCTACAACTGATCAGGATTCTTGAGCCCAAGCCGAATACCGTGAATTGATGCCATTTTGCAAAGAGCATAGAAATTTAGGGTAATCCCTCCTTCAAAAGAATCTGTACGGGAGACGGGCATCAAAATATCACCCGGATGCGCTATATTCTCATGGAACTGAAGAATCGTATCGTATACTTTCTTAGCCGAGTTAATGAAACTGCAACTGTATTCGAGTTCCCGTGCAGCTTGTGCGTGAGGTGGGATGTGTCGCATTGAGTCCGGAGTAAACACCCGACTGCATGAAATGTAGCGAATCTGTGGAATGATCAAGACCCCCCTTGGTCGAGACGAGTAGGTGTATTTTGTTTCACCTCAGATAAAAAAAACGTAGAACAATTTCCTCAATTATGAACACACTTCACAAAAGAGACTGTGACATTATTCTCCGGGGATTCGATACAAACTGAGGTGTGGTGGTTTGCCTTACCGTGGTTCACTTCCGTATTGCAGCCCATACAACGTATATGTGTATCAGCTGCTGAACTATCAACCTAGCCAAAAGAGGTCGAGTCAACTAGATGGAGAATCTGAAGTGAACATGACCGTGACAGTCAATCGATAAATCCGGACCAACGTAGCAGAATATTATCATCACGGCGTTTTTTTCTATGGAAGGTGAAGCCAAAAGTGCATCCTCTTGATTTTTGGGGCCGGACGATTGTTCCCTCGAAAAAGTCTTGTCCTAGATTCAAACCTCCTTTCCATGGTATAATACGTCAAATTGTAAGGGATGTAATCATTGAAGATGATGTTCCAGGTTGATCAGTTTAGTTGGAATAACGGTGAACTAATTGAGGACTATGAATAATTTGCATAAATCATTCACTCGTGACATTTGAAGCCAAGCTATCCTAGTTTGATTAATCGGTAAGAGAACAAGGGGTAACTCGCGACTCTGTACTAAGTAGCAGACTGATATACAGTTCCGGCGTTTTTGGAATTTGTTAGTGCAAAATCTATGGTAATTTTTTTAAAGACACGTTAAATAGCTGGTCGTTGTGCATTGCTTCATCTATTTGTCTGGAGTTGCGACCTTCAGTACGTACTTTACCATGACACCAGGTGAAATAGTCGATATAATCGAGTCACGTCCAGTTTTAAGGTACATGCTTATGTCAGAGGTTTAAAGTTTAAAATTCTTCGCTACGTGTTTCTCTCCGAGACTTGTGTGCAGGTTATCAGGCCGGAGGATGGCAGCTAAGGTGAGAGATCCCATGTAAAGTTGAGATCAGGTTTGTCCACCACTGGATATGCATTGGTGACAGTGGTCAGGAGTCGGAAACTTTTTACCATTAGGTTTTTCCCGAATTTCACTGAATCACCCCCCACCACTGGATATGCACTGGTGATAGTGGTCAGGAGTCGGAAACTTTTTACCATTACGACAGTTCTACTTGTAATTCTGGAGCTCACAGTTCGCAGGGAGATTTTCCAATGGGGAGAAAATCTCTAGTCCCCTAAAGAATGCTTATTCTTATGTTATCCACACGGGTGGGGAGTCAGACTACATTCAGTCCGTTTTGTGTCCATGTTTATATGCGGCTTTTATGTCCGGCGCGGTTTCAATCAGAAAAACTACGCTTGTCCTTTACTGGGACCGCACAAAACTGATTTCTTCTACTGGGGCTGGCCCTACCAGAGGACGAGATTGTTAAGCTAACAATATTCACGTTCACAATGTAACTTCCAACAACAGCTGACCGGAACCAAATAACTGTTCAGCCTAACACCCTTTCTGTGTCTAGCTGTCATGCCACCCAAAGGAAATACGAGGGTTGATATATTGTCATGGTGCCCAGGCATAGATGGGACCGAACCGCGGATTTTCCGGTCTTGACCGCTGAGCTATCTCGCGCTGGGACGAAACCTTGTACTGGGCCTCTACATGTTCATGCACAGATCCTATTCCCCTAGTTCTGCATTTGCAGCACCAAGTTCAGCTCTAAACAAAACGTCTGTGGGCTCTCCTACAGTACACGGAAATCCAGTCGATTGACCACTGAATCAGTGTGCGTCACGACACACAGGTTTTACATCTTATCTTGTATGACGCCCATCACCATGGGGTTTAAGATAACAAAAAGGATTGGCCGACAAAGTGTATCACTCCACACCTACAACTCACAAACTAGATTTCTATCATCCTATGGGTGATAATCAATGAGCTCGCGTAAAGGGGTTGTCTACCGCATAAACCAGCATCCCGCCAAAATGAGTGGGGAAAAGCAGTATAGTCATGTGTGTTTAGACAACACACCCAACCGCGCCGTGGACAGAGAAGGAATAAATTCCGTGGAGGTTAACACAACAGACAATCCTTGTTGGCTTGATTGCCCGCAGTGGTAGATTTTCCCAATGTCGTCCAATGTAAATGTGCACAAGCGGGGAGAAGAGTACATCCGGTTGTAGATGAAGTCTTTTGGGAAATTACAAAACGGAACTGTATGCATGAGCGGTTGGACGGACAATTTGTAGCAATGTGAAAGCCAGTGAACGATACACCTGTTTTGACGCAAACCGTCATGAAATAGAGGAAACGAAGTTTGGTCTTGACAAATTTTTGCTTCCGTTACATTTTTTATAAGTCTGGTCAACGTGAGAGAGAGAGAGAGAGTAAAATTTTTAATGAAAAGCTTCGAATAGTCTGAAGTTTCACTCAGTCAACAAATCGAAATCCATGTTTTTCAAGGTCGCGAACAGAGAGAGTAAAATGGGGAAAATTTTTGATCGGTGACTCAACAGAAATTTTATTATTCTATATAGGGAGAGTATCTCAAGTACCGAATAGTTACTTCATCTTTTTTGGAAATCATATCCAGTGTCTATGTCGGGAATATATCTAAGCAGATTCAAAACTTCGACATCCCGGTCAGTAGTTGAACGCTGTCCCAAACAATAAGCCCTCATGACATATTTTATCGTTTGCCAGATCTCGACTGAGTTTTCCATATCTCTTCTAAGAAGCTCACTAAGGGAGCCAGACGATACGCGACTAGGTGATGTTATCTAAATGACTAAAGGATGATTGGTGCTATATTCCGTCCACGTGAGAGTTCACAATGCAACCGATCACCCAATCGCGACTTGGTGGTTCAACCACCAAACGGAAGGTCGCGAGTTCGAAACTCCCTAGAGTTTTGCTATATGCACATTACTGATGATTCTCGGCATGGATGAAACAGCCGTGTAGTGCTTCTTGGCGTTTCAATATGAAAGGACTTCACTTTTCGAGGATCCCATGTAATTAGTAAGCACAAAATCTGTCAAGCTTGTCGTCTTTTCTAAGATGGAAGACATAAAAAGCTAGATATCGCTACATTTTCAAATGGTAGGCATAGCAACGGGGTTAAAAAAGTTACATTGGATATTGTGACAAACAGTGAGGTGAGGGCGTTTAAAGGTTAATCAAATGATTTTACTCAGTACGTTTTGTAGACAAGGTGGTGGTTGCTATGGCAGTAAAAAAGCTTTTGTGATTTGTCGTGTAAGTATGTCAGACCACCATTAACCCTGTCCAGACTGTTAATACATCAGAGAATCACCTCTGTGGCGGGCTCACATGTAAGTTGAGAAGGACATCCATTTGTTCTACCTGTGTTCCACGGCAAGCGTATGGGGTGACAAACGACAGGTGACACAGAGCAGACAACCATGCGTTGAAGCGCTTCTCTGGGTGCAAGAAGTAGGCTTAAATGTACGGCTGGGGACATTCACTTCCGGAAACCAGAGTTTTTTCTGAACATTCGAGATGATTAGTTAGTTAGGTAGTTGGTAAGTTAGTCGTTTAGTTAGTCTGTTAGTTTGTTCATTGGCTAGTCCGCCACTCCATCCGATTATCTGTCCGTTTGTCCGTTCGCTCGCTCGTTATTTAGTTATTTAGTTAGTTAGTTAGTTAGTTAGTTAGTTAGTTAGTTAGTTAGTTAGTTAGTTAGTTAGTTAGTTAGTTAGTTAGTTAGTTAGTTAGTTAGTTAGTTAGTTAGTTAGTTAGTTAGTTAGTTAGTTAGTTAGTTAGTTAGTTAGTTAGTTAGTTAGTTAGTTAGTTAGTTAGTTAGTTAGTTAGTTAGTTAGTTAGTTAGTTAGTTAGTTAGTTAGTTAGTTAGTTAGTTAGTTAGTTAGTTAGTTAGTTAGTTAGTTAGTTAGTTAGTTAGTTAGTTAGTTAGTTAGTTAGTTAGTTAGTTAGTTAGTTAGTTAGTTAGTTAGTTAGTTAGTTAGTTAGTTAGTTTGTTTTCGCTCAGCTTCGCTTAGCGGCGAACCAACATAATACCGATATTGCACACCCGCCTTGATTGTATTGAGGACACTGCTATAAGTTGGAGTCGGCGAATTATAGAAATATATATATAATTAAATAAACGAAATACGCTCAAGTGCAAACAAATCTGGTTTTACGAAAGACTCACCTGGAACCCAGCTGAATCTGTGGACTACGAGCAAATTAATGTGCTGCAGCAGGCCGCTTACAAACACCATAAACGAGAAATTCAGCTGGGTTCCAAGTAAGACTCTCACAGAACCAAATTTGTTTGCAAATGAGTGTATTTCGCTAATTTCGTGCAGTTCCGCACCAACTAGAACATAAGGTTGACGGATACTCGGGGACTAATCCTACCTGAGAGCGCAAGAAGGGTGAAACTGGTCGTGGGTTGTCGAACAATTTTCAGCGACTTTATGAGTATTATATTACGACTATAATTAAATAAACTTTCTGGTTGTACTGTAGTAAAGCATCAGTGTAAACACTTGTCATGCTGTCTCTGGTGCTACTGTTGATGATGATGATGATGAAGATGATGATGATGGCGATGATGATAATGATTACTGCGAGAGTTCTTAAAACTAAAAGTTTGAGGGTAACGATAACTATGTACGGGACACACAATGATAGGAAATGTTCGTGGTAAAACCAATGTCTCCACAATCATAATGTCATTTATGCCTTTTGAGGCAAAGTGGACTGTCAAAGAGTTTTCAGTAACCTTGTGAGTAGTCCTCAGATTCCTTCCGATCCAACGGTCTCTCATGTTGTCCATCAATTCATTTGTAGCCTCAGTATCGACATTATTAGTCGACAGGCTTCAGAAGTACAGCGGAGCACATAACGAAGTATCTGGTTGGAAGGACTGAACAAAGCAGTGCAGCACTAGGCGCACAACGTTGATGGCCAAGTATGCTCTGAAGAAGGACTTTGATGTGTCTTCCATTGTGCTGCCGCTAGGATGGAAGCAACGATTTCAGAAAATGCACCTTCGGATGGCGTTTTTCTGAAGCCATCTCTTGGGCGACTATCTACATATTCGAAAACCCGCCTATCTATCGCGTGAGATCCTTCTCAAAGTATGAATAACCTTCAGCTTTCTCTGTCACCAAAGGGTAGTCTGATTTACTTGAGAAGGTGCAAATGAGCGTACCCATAACCGTGTTCGGTTTACTCTACTTGATTAACGAACAAGGACTTCGTGAGTCAAGACCGTTTTCGTCAACTTGTTATCAAAGCGATGTGAATCAGTTTTTATACTCGACGTATTCTGCATGATTTCTTATGGAGACTAGTTCGCAGTTATCTGACCTTGAACTACTGGAAACCAACTCAGGGGCACCAGAGAAGCCATTTAAAGCGCCGGGGCGCCGACCTCGACGTCAACCCATGTAATCTCTGATTCAAACAAACTTTATTGCACGACTGCTTTCACTGTGGCATTTGATTGAAAAGCTGCGCTACAATTCAGAAATGATAACCATCGTGTTCACTCCAGATGTTCTGGACTGGTCAAGTCATTGATCCAAATGTAATGGAACTGACGAGGGTTTTATCCCTACCCTACCAATCTGTCTGCTTACCATTTGCGTGCGCAGATTTCTAAAACAGGCTGTGTGTCTATCCCAACTATTGCCGTTTGGATTATCCCGAATAGTCAAACGTCACTCATCGATGTTTCCAAGTGTCCAACAGAGTTTAACTCGCTAGATTCAGGTTTTCAATTAATGGAAACAAAATGAAATGTTTTGATATCAAGATTTACATATCCTTACTGTTCTTTTCAAATGAATCAAGAGGATTTGGATTTCCCTGTTACAGATGTCTCACGAAGAGTGGAAATCAGATGTATAGCTATTTCGCATTGACTCGTCCTACGCCTACCGATCCTTAAACCGGGTTGCATTGAACTCCATCCTCCGTGCTTCTGAAACCCTCAGTTTAGCTTCTTTAAAAAACGAATGAATGAATGGTCTCAAAAACATTGCATTCCGCGTTGCTCTCCTAATTCGAACTACACTTGAAGCAAACAAACAGGAAAAGGTAGACACGAGACAGAGGACTGGCAGTGGTCCGGTTTCGATGATCCGAACAAACAAGCAGACTGAACTTAAGGCGACAACACACGAATTAACAAGAGTTTGTGTTTGACGGGGTCATTGATTTCCTAGCAAACTGTCTAAGACAAGCCCAAACACACAATAACTTGCTGGCTATGCGATTTAAAAATGATACGAGCAAAATCACTGGTGAACAATATCGAGATTATTAGAAAGGTTATCCTGTCATATAAACTGAGGTCTGCAAAGCCCGATCAATCTCACAGAACAGTATATCACCCAAGTATCACTAAAGCAATATTTGGTTCAACCTACTTTAGTTTTGGCGTTAACCGTCGCATTCGAGCTGAGTAACAAATGTACCACGGTGTCGTGACCAGATCGAGCGGCACAATGGAGTGGGGTGAGACCATCACGAGTACGACAGTCCAGTTCCGCACCGGCTGCGATCAACCGCTCAGCCACACCATGATTGCCCCACTTGCACGCCACGTGCAGAGGTGTGATGTTGTTCTGTGCGGGAGATTAAAAGACGACAGGGAAAATGGGGAAAGCGTTTAAGTACAAACCAGGACTTGACGAAAGGACCATTTGGAAAAAAGTGTTGACAAATACTGCCGAATTCAACGTGACTTTGGTGAGGAGCCTAACGTACAAGTTTCCCACTTTACCCATCTGAACCATGTTGTCCTGCTAAGAACATGAAGGGGTGTGATGAAAGTCCCTTTACAGTACCCCTGTGACGGTGGATACTACTGATAAGGGTATGCGAGTAGCATGTTTTCTCTTAACTCTGCTTCGCGTCTCTTGAAAAGGGAGATCTGTTACGGAATTTGTGGAGTCGCTTTGTAACATTTGTTTGGATTTGAGCAACAGTCAGTGGATATCCAGGAAAGTTCAGGAAGACGCGTTCAATGAGAAGATGGATATTCAGTTTTTGTAAACGAGATGCATATGAGAGTTTTGCTTCCCTGTCCGCTAGTCTGTAACTGTTCAAGTTTCCTAATAAATACCTCCGCAGCGAAGGCCTTTTTCTTTTCACCCGTAGATTAATGTGTACAGCGGAAATTTTACTTCGAAGCAGTTCAATAAAATAATACTAACCTTTGTGAAAGTTCGCATGGTCAAAAAAGGGATTCGTTGTTGGAATGACCTAAAATTGCTCCCGGGGTCGAGTGTGAACACGAGTTTGTGTGTGTGTATGTGTGTATGTGTGTGAAGTGGCCATATAGGCCCTGTGATCGATTGCGGCTTGCTGTGATGTTTCCAATATCATACAACGGGGGAAACAGTGGCCGGTGAAACGTTACATGAGAGCAACCCGCGCACAATCGAACTGCTTAATCTGGAAAATGACGGATGTGCGATGATAATTGCGGTTTGATTTCTGGTTCAGAAGAGTAGAACTTGATCACCTGGCTGTGATTAGTCGAGACGCTAACCAACCAGCACATGTTCTAACTTGGTCTGTGTTACGGTTCGGTCACGCTAGCACACAAAAATACAGCATTTTTGGGGGGGATATTGATATCTCCAATAGTCTGTATCCTGTTCACCATTACAACGCGTGTTACGTGATCACACTGAGTGGCTACGATAGCAATTCTTTGTCTCTATGGACCACATGTAACAAAAAACGAACAGACCGACACGAAGATGATGCATGATTCTTAGTTCTGTATCTCCGCTGTCCCCGATAATCATTGGAGACGATGAGTGATTGCAAAAAGTTAATCAACTTAAGCACATGCCGATATTGTCTCTCAATCGCAGGACCGTGGTTAGGCAAACTAATTTATCCCATAGGTTTCCAATATGGGGAAACACTTTCATACCCAAATATTTTATCGCCATAGTTGTTCTACTCTTTGACAGGGAATAAAAAACCCATCCGCGTCGTTTTATGTGATGAGCCAAGGCAATCTAAGTTTATTGCCTCTATCACAGCTGAATCCCTATCCTGGTGTCCCAATGCCCTCATCACTAAAGACGACCAGTGTTTTTGTCCGGGTTATATGGAAAAAAACTAATGAAGCCACAATAAAAGCAAGATGGCAAACCCAACGAAATTTTGCACTCACAATTTCCTTTTTGAAATAAACACCATTTCAGGACACCCAAACTGTTTGGCACTTCAGAGGTCGAACCACAAACATAACCAGGAGCAAACGACTATGAGAACTCTGCAAATAGACACAACTTGAGCCCGGTAGAGTTTGGTAGCTAAAACGCGAAGCTACTGGCTAAAAGATCTAGACCTCACTTCTCGACTGCTTGTGTTTAGGCTTCGATGACCTAGCAGTATCTCATTAGTCAAGCTTGCTTTAGGTTATATGGCAGTTATGTCTCGAAAGGGTAACATAACTGAACGAATGTTACCAGTTGTTACTAAATTACCAACATTTGCCTCCTTTTCTTTAATTAAAACACACTACTGACCAATCTTCTGTACTATTTTTTGAGGCAGTCGGTCCCATGAACGTAGTTCCCTCCCCTCAGAACTTGAGACTTCATTTCTTGTCTCCTTAGTATTGATATATACAGTATATATGAAAATGGCAAACGAATTGTATATCCCATAGTTCTGCTTCGCTAAGACGTAGTTCCAAACTTTTTCCGCAAAAAAGCGATCAGCTATGCAAAAGCACCGTTGGTAAGAGCACCTTACCGCTGTGCCGCAGATAAATCAAATACTCTATATCCTGGCGGCAGCTTATAGTCTATTGGTTGGCTTTGGATGAGTTGAACTCCATCCCAGCAGCTTTAACGGATGGACCGAATGAGGTCAAGGTCGCGCATAGAACTACCAAGAACTCATACGGCTCTGTTCTTACTTCTCTCTGGGAGCTAGTCTGCAAATGTGGGTGGGGTGTTTTCTGCTCGGCTGCTAGCGTATTCTGTCGATACAAACAAGACGGGGTGCATAGAAATTTTACCTCTTCTATTTGCCTCCTAAATTAAGGCTTCTTGAAACAAACGAGTTCTGCACATGAGGTACCTAAAAAAGCAGCTCCGTTGTGCTTTCCCTCATCCCACTTCTACCCTCAAGCTCAGAAATCATTTAGAAGGTGACAATCATACATAAAACCTACTGAAGTAAAGTAAACCTTTTAGAAAAAATGCAGGTGCTCTCATCGGGCCTCCGGACAGTTTCTTCTCAAAAGGCCAAACGGGAATGGTTTATTTCCCACCTCATTGTTCTCTTAAGGAGAGTGCTTCCTTTTCCCGTCAAGGCAAAAACTATATAGTTTAATAGGTTAAATCAGTTCAGCAGCACTCCCCGGGAGCATACAATCACAGAGGTCAAAAAGAGACAACTGAGTAGTTGAATTCGTAACACATACCTTCCCTCTGTTGTAACGAAATGTACGCAGGACACTCGGAGTTTTATGTTCTCCTTTTGTTTATCCTGTGCAGAGGCTACTGTGTCCATTCAAACACGGAAATATCCCAGTCATACCGAACCGTGTATTTAACCCATTCTTACTTGTTGGATCACTGGTGGTGGGCCAAGAGGTTTTGAGTCAACTAACATTCATTAACCATTTTCGGTCGGTCCTTTCTCATTCTTGCTCTGCTAATCATAAAATGAGATCCAAAATAGCTGGATGTGATATTCCCCCAAGCGTGCATCACCATTTTCCCCAGAAAATCAAAGAGCGGACAGAATTTTTTTATTCCTTCCAACTTTATGTCCCCCTATAGATTCTAACCCTCCAGAGGGACAATAATCGGTCATCGTGGAGGGGCTTCGTGGTATCACTCTGCCATGCTTCTCAAAGTATACGCATTTATTCATGGGTCTTCAAGGGTAAAATAGTGAAATCTAGGAATGGGCCAACCAAACAGGTGCATGTTGCCGGATAAACCAAGTAAATTGCATCGTTTTATTCTCAAGAGTATAGTACTTAACGAGGGCCATCCAAATCGTTAGTGGATTTTTAGTTTATCAGAAGTAACAGAAATCCATGCGGAAGTTGACTTTGTATAACCAGCAGGGTCGCTCACGTTCGGAGGTGCTTATACTTCACAGAGTATGCCATTTCCAACTCCCTATTAGGGTTCATCAACAGTGCATGTTTCCGGCCAGAGGTCAACTCCAGACACCTGAGGTGGAAGGCGGGTATGGTACCACTATCCCACCAGCGCATACTGAAAACCTGAATTACCGAATAGGTGAACGAGTTTAAGCCTGGCTGATGTGAATGGTTTGTCGGACGCCTCCAAAAACGACCCAGTATCGACCGAGTGACTTGTGTGTCGAGTCTTCCCAATGATGAGTTTCAGAAAGGTTGCGAAGTAACGTTAAGATTTCGGGGATGTGGCCGAACTTTGCTTCACCTTTACTGGATTACCCCAGAAGAAGAACAGTTAATACTACTTCCTCAGTGGTGTCAAACAAAACGCAGCAAATGTTGGCAGAACCAAAATCTCAGACGAACTGGATTATTTTATCACGTCCTCATAGTTTTGCTCTCTTAAATATACCGTCGAAAGAATTTACATCTAGTTGAATATATCGTTGAAAGAATTTGGATACGGCTTGATAGCTGAATTTCTGAATCCCCGCAGCTATCGAAATTCCCTTGTCGCAGAAGTATTGCCAGAGTGGAACCAGAAACATGTGCGTTTTCGTTCCAGTTCATGTGACTGCAGATGATGATTGTCGGTTGGCTGTCGTTTCGGTCCAACGGCAGCACAATCACGATCGAGATATACCATCTGAGGCATATTCACAAGTAACTTTCATGAATAGCGGCTAATTCGGAAGGACGACTTTCAGGAATGTTGTATTGAGAGTACTCTTCACATTAAACAACCTAGCGTGTGCAATGATTTTACGGCAGTGAAGACTCGGTGTTGAACACTGATGTCATGCTGTCGATGAGATGATGGTGTGCAATGATTTAAGACGTGGATATGTCTTGTCAGCTAGGCTAGTCACTATGTCGACCTCGTTTGCATCTGTGTGCAGCGCAAAGTTTATCGAACAGCACCAGCTAATGCTGAAAGGGATTAGTTTTCAGATGGTGAACGCAGATTTCGGTCCTCAAAAGCCTCACTCTCTAGTCCTCACTTTGCAGTCGTATGCTTTTGCCTGAATCTAATAAGCCCTTTAAACACCTATCGGAGACCTCAGATGCAACTTTCCTTGCCAACACTGACGTTCGTGAGTGTACCTTCTCACCCTTTGGTTATTATCATTGATTTTCTCCAGAGTCTCATCAATGTGGTTTGAGTATTTTCAACTAAGTGCAGGTGGCACGTCATTGTGTGCATTGAATGAGCTATCATTGGTCACATCCTGCTCGCCGCCTTCGGACGAGCCAAGTGAAGTGATCACTGAACGTGACGACACTAGACCAAGCTTGACTTTCCCGTCTGACGACGGAATGGACAGGCCATTCTGTTACATCAGTCAGTCAGAGCACAACCAGGCACCCAAGTAGCTTACGAAACTACGCATTGTGGTTGACGAATACAACACTTGTTGAGCATCAATAATAAACATT